CAGTTCGCGCAAATGCCCAAAGAACACTACAAATCCAAAAACCGTGCCGGTGGCTATACAGGAAGGAACGGTGTTGCCTGAAAGTAGTGAAACCATAAAAGTAAGGCAATTGCAAGGAACTGTAAAGAAAGCAACGCCTGTCATAGCGGAACCTTCGAAGCGCAATGAAAGTGTTGGTCAAGGAATTCATGATCGAAGCACCGCTGACGTGTGGAGACAGTCACATCGCGTCTCGAATATACCAGAAGAAGCGGTACTTGACTTTGACTCATAGAGATGGAATTCTGGGACATTCCTTCGTCGTCTGGAGACTTCTCGTAGCAGAGTTGGACTTGGTATGAATAGCGTTACAATATATATTAAAAAGTAAAGGACTAAAAATAGATCCTTGCGGTAGACCATTTTTTACTGTTCTAAACATGTTCTAAAACATTGTTATGATTTCTTATAAATATTTTTCTATTCCTGAAAATGTCTAGTGTGTTAGCGCACACTTTGGAGTTGATACCCATTCTATTCATCTTTGAAAATAAAATGTTGAGATCAACTACATCATAAGCCCTTTTAATATAAACTTAGTAGATATTCGTTTTTGGAGAAACCAAATTGTATATCGGAAACAATTGCGTTACCGCTTCTAACATTCCCTGTCCTTTGCAAAATCCGTACTGAGACTTAGGTGCCATTGAATTACTTTCAACAAAAAATTCTAATCTATTTTTGATCATTCTTTCGAAGGTCTTTGTGATACAGGAAATTTATGAAATCAGGCTTTTTAAGCGGTTTAAGAATCAGGCAAATAATTGTGTCTTTTAATATATATCCGAGTAATCGTTAATAATCCACCAGCTATTATAAATAGATACTAGGAAAAGTTTAGCCGTGTTTGGGATATTATAAAAACATTTATAAGTGAAATTATCAATACCGGAAGCAGTAGTTTTAGAGTTTTTGAGTGCAAGATCTAATTCAGTTATTTTAAAAGGGCTAGATAGGAAATCTGATTGGGAACATAAGCTATAATTTATATTCTTGATAGGTGAGAATGGAGCAGAATAGACAGACGGCGGTGCAATTATATCTAGTATTTTATCCACTAAGTCTTTGATAAAATATTTATTATTAATGGATTTTATTTTGTTTCATATTTCAGTTACTTTTATTTAAAGTATTTAAAACTTCAATTCAATAGTTTTTTGTTTTTGTTTAAATATTTTTGTAGCTTTAGCAGCAGTATTTTTGTAAGCCAAATAGTTTTGTAGGTTGCCCTGATTTTTATAATTTTGTAAAGTTCTCTTACGTTCTACAAGTATGTAAGTACATTGGGCATCCCACCAGTGTGATTTTGGAGTTTAGGGCATGTGTCCTCTTTTAATAGTCATAGACTTATCTGCCGCTTCGGAAAGAATTTCCAAAAAATGAGAGATTTTGACGTCATTAGAGTGAGAGTTTAAATTTAGTTGATTTAGATATGTTTCAATATTAATTTGGAAATTTTTCCAATTGACACATGAATCTATTTTGTTGTAGGACTATTATTAATTGTTAAAGATTGTATTTGAATCTCCCAAATGATAGGATAGTGGTCCGACCCCATCGTATCCCTGTGTAACTTCCCAATAGATGATTTCAACGGAAGACATCTTGAAGTTGCAAAGTCATTGGAAGATATTTGCGCCATCTATAAGTTTACATAACAACTAATAAAATAAAAAAGAAAACTGTAAATTATTATTTTGGCAATCTGTTTAAGGTTACGGCGTCGATATTAATTTTTTTTTCTTTGTCTTCTTCATTAGTTGTATGTGCTCAGTTTTTCACCATCTCTATCTACTCAGTGCCAGGTCCCAGAGTCTTTTTTTTCTTAGTAAAAATTTGTAAAAACATAAAACAAATTGAGGTTACAATCTCTGGTTTTGTTTTTGAATAATTTTTTGCATTTATTTTCAAAATACTAGCTTAGAAACACAAAGAAAATGATGAAAAGTAAAGTTAAAAGGTAGGTGTGCACCTTTTGTTTACGAATATAAATTTCAAAGTGAATAAATGTATTTATCATTGTTTTTTTGTAATAATATAATAATATAGTGGTAGTGGGAGATTCAGGTGGAAAAATATGTTATCTCTTTTTAATTAATAATTAGTTAAAAACGATCATTTTTGCGACTGTAGAACTTACCTATAATAAAACTAAGTTGATTTACCAAAATAATTTTTATAAAAACACTTTTAAAAAGTCCAGTCTATTAATAAGTTACAAAAACAATCCAAAAAATACTAAAAACCATGTACAAACGTATAAACTATACAGGAATTTATAAATATCTGGTCCGGCAATGACATAACACAGTGAAACGTACATACTATATGGGATTGGCCAATAGGTGCGGACTCTTTCAGTAAGGAGTGTGCGGAGACTTAGTTGGTGCCCGTAGGAGCCTCCAGGCATCAGCCTCTCACTTTCTGGAAGTCTACCAGTGTTAAAACCACCTTCTCTTCTATTTTTATTTGGTTTCTGCTCTCTGTAACCACCTTCCAGAGCATATCTTTAGAGTGTATTCTGGTTCATCCTGTTCTTTTATTTTCATATTTTTTATGGTGTCGGCCACAATATTCCATGATGCCTTGCTTAATTTTATGGTCTGTAGTATATAATTGATGGTTAGTATCTCCATTAGTTTTGCATGCATTTCTTGTTGGAGTATTTTATGCCTTATACACCAAAAAAATGTGTGCTTTTCTGTATCTTCTTGTCTGCAGTAAGTACAGAGGTCATCCATAGTCTTACGTATCCCTTTGGTAAAGGATTTGAATGCTCCGTGTTCACTTTTAGCATGTCATACAAAATTCAATGGTTCTGTATTTACAATTGCACTACCTTTTAACATCTGATTATTTTATTAATCTCTGTCTCTTTCTTATGTAGTATTTCTTTTTTTTGCCAGAATATAGATAAGAACAATTTGTGCTAGGACCTGTGCAGCTTGAAGCGATGCGATTCTAAAAACATCCATCTCTCCGAAGGGCCATTCCTCTCCACGGACCATTTCCTCTAGGCACTTTTTTCATCTTTGTTCTGTACACATTTACTTGAATTGCTCCCACCCATAATGATGCTCCATATATAGTGCAATTCCCTTTTTCGGCTTTGAGCTCCTCCAATATTTGGCATCAGTATGCCGTTTTCCGATAGTGTCCTCTGCTTTCTTTGTTACTTTCTCGAAACGTCTCTCCAAGTTTAATCTGTTGTCAATCCATATACCCGAATATTTGACTGCTTATGTAGGTGTTATTTCCTGCCCTTATACTTAAAATTTTACTAGCTCTCTAACTTTTCTACAGTCATGTCCTTTAATAATCACCGACTCAGATTTTGCTAGTGCTAGTTCCAGCAGCCATTGGTCCACATTCATCAGAGCCATATTGGTTTCCACAATACGCTCTGCTGCATATATGGCCCTAACAAGTAGTGCTAAATCATCTGCAAAACCGATTGCAACCATTTTATTCTTTAAGTTCGTTTATAAGTTGTCGCCATAGAGGATATTCCACAAAAGTGGTCATATGACAGATCCTTGTGGTCACACATAGTAACTTCCATTTATTCACTGCTTATCATTGTTTTTCTTTCTAACAAGTATTTTCTGATAATATTTATTAAATACGGAGGAATGTTTTTATTAACTAGTTTATTAATTATCAGATCCCTTGAAGCAGTGTTAAACACATTTCGGATGTCTAAAGTTAACAATACTAACCATTTCTTATCGTAATTAGTGGCTACTCTTATGACTTCTTCTACCACTAGTACTGTAAACCTTTTCTGAAACCACATTTATGCTCTGTTAATCCCTCGTTATGATCTATTGCCTCCGTTAATCTCTTATTCCTCATCATCCCTTCATACAATTTGCTTGTGGTGATTAGAACACAAATTGGTCTAAATGAGGATATAGTGAATAGCGATTTGCCTGGTTTCGGTATTAACACCAATCTTATAGTTTTCCACATTATTGGGAACTTTTTTTTCTCTAATAATTCATTCATGATTCTAATAAGGCAATTTGAAGACGTTTTTGCTTTAATTGCCTCTGAAAAGATGACATCTACTCCTGGCGCTTTACCCGTTTTTAGTATCTGAGTGCTTCTGTCAGTTTTTCCTGCGTAAAGAGATTTTTCTCAAGGGTTTGTCAATCTATCGCTCTACTCTCGCTGTGTAGAGAGAAAAACCTTGCGGTTTCCGTTTTCCTATCTTATTCCAGTTCCACTGGAGCTGATACAAAAATTTTTCCAGCTGCAATTCTGTAGCCATTACCCCCAAATATCATTTTCTAGGTCATTATATAGTACTTTCCAGTGGCTTTCCGTTGCTTGATAAACCATTTTATTTAGCTTATTTCGTTCGCGTTTATATAAGTTTCATATCATTCTTCTCTGTTTAAGTCATCTCTATCTAATTTAGTTAGTATCCCCATCGTTCTTAAACATGTATTCTCTGGTTTTCTATGTACCCGGGGGGCTGAGTGCACTAGTATGTGTAAAGGGGCCTTAAATATATATTTTTAAATGAGTTGGCATGTACCATAAGACAAATTTGTTTATTGGGCAACTACTGAAAACGATGTATTTAAATTTTCATTAGTAACATGGCGAATGGCTCCAATATTTTCAGCTGTAGGTACGTTTAGACGCTCACTTCCAATTTTCAGTCTCTCTGAAGAACTGCAGAATTTGTCAAAACATTGTAAATACCATTGTAGTCAAACACTAATTCAGGGTGTTCTTCAAGAAAATCAGCTATTCATTCTGGAATTGAATTTTGTGATTTTTCACACCTGTACCGAAATAACATTAGATAAATTTTGATTTTGTGAAAGTGGTTAAAGGACTAACCCAAAACATTTAAATTTCACAGCCAACTCCAATTATAATTTTTCTCGATGGTTCGTTATGAAGTGCTACATATCTTCTACTTTCGTAATATTTGTTATTTGTTCTAGCTATTTTCGTGGATGCCATGGTTTGAAGCAACTGTACAAACACCTCTTGAGAAAAACGGATTTCTCTTCAGAACCACAACCAATATTATTTATGTAGATTGTCCAATTATGATCCTACATGCTGAAGATGACGAAGTTATCCCTTATAGATTTGGAAGAAAGGTTAGAGATAATATTTATTACTTTATTTGAAACAGATACAAAAATTAAAGAAATGTTCACAGGTGGCTGAAGTAGCTTCGACAAAAAGAGCGATACCACCAAAAGGGAATGTAACTTATCATGAGTTTGGACGTCTTGGGTACGGACATATTGGAATAACCACTGACCCAAATATTCTACAATATATTAAGTATGCATAATTATAATTTATCTTAAAAATCGATTAATTCTATTTTCTGTTGTTTTTTTTTTTTTAATTTTCTTTTTTATTTTCAGTGAGTTCGTTGGATTTTGCAAGGATCAAAATAAACGACGAGGATAAATTTGATGCACTATCTAGTCGCGTTTACGAAGTCGACAAAAAACGACGATAAAAACAAACGATCTGTGTATGAAATAAATAAAAATTCAAATTTTGTAATGTAAATAGTATATGATTATTACTGTACTTTTTATTTTTCTAGCTAATTGTACTTACAAAAAAGGTCATCGTTGAGAGAATATCTAATAATTTATTTTAAAAAATGATTATTTTATACCTTGATCTTTTAATTTACAATTTTTATTTTTTCTTCAAACGTTAATTAGGTAGTTATAAAAAAATAATTATTAAAAATCTCGAATTTCTCCATCAAAGTAACTTGGCACTTTAGCCTGTGCTCTCATCGGATACAAAAGTACTTTTACGCTGTAGCTATTAGCAATGCTTCGTTGTCAAAAAATTAAACTTTAACCTCATCAAATTAATAGTAAAATGACAGATTTATATTGACGTTTGAAGAAAAATTAACTTATTAAAATAGCTTTTTTTATTTATTAAATTTTTTACATTTTTATTCTCTTTTATTTTTTTATTCTCATGTGGATGGTAGATGAAAGAGGCAACCATTACCGACTCTACTTCTAGCCTAGCAAAGATAAATGTAGCAACGCGGCGGTCGAGTTCATTTCACTCATGTTTTAGTGTACTTTTAAAGCGTAACGATTTTTTTCGAAAACGTTCACATAAAGTGAAACTAAAACAATTTTTTTTAATTAGTTACTAAAAGTGTGTATTAACATAAAACCGAAATTTTATGAGTTTTTTGTGATAAACTTTGTAATCTTATTGAAATAAAGTGGTTTTTATTGTTATACCTATAGTGTCTGGTGGCGCGTTGTTGTCCCCTTACAAGATATATATTAAGTTTAATAATTATGCCTACTACCTGTTATTCCTAGATGTAGTCCAATTTTAATAGTGTTTTAAAAGAAGAACAGGGTGGAAAGCATCGAGTTAGTACGGAGAGGATTCAGAAATAGCTACTCTTCTGGAATCAATTTCGTAGGACTCACGAAGACGAAGAATTAGAAATGTATCTATCTGAACCAAGCAACAATACAACAATATTTAACAAACACCCTATATAATTAAACAAAACAGAAACATTATATATTAAGGCCACAGAAGCACACTCCAATATTCGTAACATCAACTAATTTTGATAGATGTCATTTATGTGTCATATTTAAGAATCCTTTTGTTCAACAGATGGAGCAATATTTAATAGTTCTTTTGTTCAACAGATGGCGTAATAAACGGTACACAAAGTTATTTGGACATAAACTTTTACATTTACTGATGTTTTTTAAATAAATAATGTACTCTTCTTAGAAATTTAATAAAAAAAAAATCGAAATTTAAAAATTTCAGAATTTCAACATATATTAAAATAAAGAGTATCTATCCACTTTTGAGTGCGAATATCTCAAAAACTAACTCAACTTTATTTGAAAAACATCAAAAGTTTTTGGACAGTGGACTAAAATTTAGAAGGGGTAAAGGTTTTACTTGCCCATGCCACACCACTGGCAAAGCTTATTTAACTGATTAGGTGTATAATATTACACTAATAACGTTTGCCGAATTTAGTGAAAGTAAACTGAGTAATAAAAAATATGTAGCTGTTTTATCTACGGATATTTCATCTAATCGGCTTATTTTTAATCAGTTAATCTTCAGTTACTCTATGTCCCATTCTTAATGAAATACCCTGTAAATACCGAAAGGTCTTACAGCCAAAGAACCAAATAAAAATAGAAAAATGTAATTTAAAAAAGTCTTTTTATTACCTTATTTACCCACAAATGCTCAAATCAGTCGGACAACGAAGTTATAATTTTCTGGCACCAAAGGCATTAAATTATATGTTAACAAATATAAACGAAGTATTAAGCAAAAAACAAAAAAAAAGCTAAATTGTAGAAAAGTTTCAAAGGTAAAAAAAAATAAAAAAAAAATTAAGCATAAAAAATATATATATTTTATCTTGCTATATTTCAATTTTATATATTTTTAAATTTTAACTTATAACCGTGTTACCAAAAAAAAAAAATAATAATCTTAAGTTTTAATTGTATTTCAAAAAATTTTAATTTATATGTATATATATCACACACAAACATCCTTGATGTTTCCGTGATTATTTGTTTATTTCCTAAATTGTATTGAAATTTTTTTGTATACTTATTGTTGTTTCTTTTGGAAAATAAACATTATTATTATTATTATTATTATTATTATTATTATTATTATTATTATTATTATTATTATTATTATTATTATTATTATTATTATTATTATTATTATTATTATTATTATTATTATTATTATTATTATTATTATTATTATTATTATTATTATTATTATTATTATTATTATTTTTATTATTACAATATTTTATTCAGATCTGCATCAGTAAAACATATTTTCAAAAAATTTCATTTATATGTACAGTGAGTCTACGTAAGTTGGCGGCATATGGAAAACTTTTTTATGAATTTTAGAAAAAAAACTTATTTTTTCATAAACAGTTGCATTGTCTAAAACCTAAAATATGATCATCTAAAATCAAATTTTATCAATTGTATACGAGGTTTATCAAATATAAAGGTAACTTTAAAATCATATTTTTTGAGAAACATCGTATACTACTGATAAAATTTGATATCAGATGGTTAAAATTTTTGGTATTAGATCATGAACAACTTTTTATTGAATTTTTTTACTATTAATTTTAGAAAAAAAGTTACTTTACATAAAAAGTTGTGCATGGTCTAAAACCTTAAATTCAATCATCTGATATCAAAATTTTATCAGTCGTATACAGGGTTTGTCAAAATAAAGGTGCAAAATCATATTTTTTTACATATTACTATGTTCATTAAGCAAAAAAAATGTTTATTTTGATGCACCTACCACCTTTAAAAGTATATTAACGAGACATCCTATATAATTCCTACAGAAAAATGTTTTTGGAATAAATTTAGAATTCAATTTATTGATATTTGTTATTTTTTAGGTTCAATGACTCAATTGAAACACGATATCAAGGAATATCCTTGATATTTAAAAAAATGGTATGAGATTAAGCAGATTTGATGCTACGTCACTTTGTGGTGCGAAGACGTGGCTTATACGAATTTGAGGTATCATACCTCTGTAATAATAATAATACTCTCCCTAATTCACCCCCTTACGAGTGAATTTAAACCCTAAAAGCTGAGCTTGTGCGGGGAAAGGGACGGCTATTATTATTATTATTTGCTGTGGCGCTCCGAGGCGACTTAAAGATGATTGATGGTGCCATTTGACTTACAGGTGAGGAAAACCTCACCCACCATCATCGAGACGGTAATGCATGGCGTTTTTATAATCTGCATGTCATATCAACAGAAACTGAATTTCTATTAATACGGCACACATCAAATCCTATACCGAACCATGCAATTTAATTAAAAATCCACATGGTATGTTGTGGTATTCGAAGCCCAGCAGTCTCTGACTCATAAACTTGCCTATAAATGAATATAAGCGCGTTAGACCGCTACACCACCGACCCGATAATGTTTTGTATCATTAGGAATATCAACATTGTAAACAATTATGACCAGGGTTTTCTAACCTTTTCCCTAGGTCAGGGACAATAAATGAAAACTAAATAATTTATAGTAATAAAGATTAAAAATATATATACTTTTAAGAGTTTTATTATGTCACCCATAGTTTTATACCAAAAATTAAAATAAACTGAAATTATACATTAACAATACATTCATAAATTTACCATATTTATAACATTAATCGACTCTCTCCTGGGTAAAATATTACTACTCAGCTCTGTTCCATCTATTTTTTGACTTGAGCCTCCTTCTGGACACTTCCATTCGTTCTTATTCATTGTAGTATGAATGGGTTTCAGAATATCAAGTGTTATACCTATTGTAATGAACTAAAAATTCATTCCTATTTTTAATTAACTGGATCAACCCTTTTCTTAAAGTTCCCCGATTTTTAAATTATTATTTTCCGAAATTCCCGCGATTTTTAAATAATTATCGATTTTATTTCAACCAGGTGTTAAATTTTACATTACTGTAAATTCATCGCACCCCACTATCAGCCTATCGCAGACTGTAATACTGTTTCAATTCCGATATAATTTAAAATCTTTTCCCATTTTACGCTATTCATATAGGTAATTAGATTATTTCCGTAGATTCATTCAGCCGTCTGTCCCGAAAACCGAGTGAAATCAGAAGCAATCAGATCCTTTTCCGAATTGTTTATAGTTTCTTTTTATTCAATTTTTTATTTACAACCTTATCAGTATTTTCGAAGCAAATTCGAATTTCGTCTGCTAATTTTACATTAATGTTGAGAACCGTATAAAATAATTTAATTCATTTCAAGTAAATATTAGCTCGGATTATTTTTCTTTAATAAATAGGATTTGATTTAAGAAATATTAATAGTGAATAAACTCGTAAAATTAAAACTTGTAAATATTGTAAACATTGGCATTGAAAATATTTACACCGGGGTTGTACATAATTAAGTTCATATTAATTTTGTATACATCAGTTTGAAAATGTTTATACCGGGTGGGTGATTAACTTAGAAGTGGGTTGAACTTCTTCGAATATTTTGTACCGGGTTGCCAAGAAATTTCGCGATCGTAGTTCCAATTTTAATTTTTGAATTCTGTCGACTGGAATAACATGAATTTCTTGAACATTTATTAAGTAATTAATTGATTTGATTACCGTTCCTTCCCATTCCTGTTAGGCCTTGTTAGGGTTCTTAGGAACTTTTTATTTGTACATTCCGATATTAAAATTTCCTGAATTAGAGTATTGTCTGAGTTGTTATTGAATACAATGACTACTCCCGCAGTAGAATGGGCTAATTTGGTAACCAACTCAGATGATATGTTCCGGATTTGCTATTGAACAGAAGTGAAACTTAGCTACCTTCGCTGCGTTTAATACGTCTTTATTTCTCTAGTAAATTTATCTAGCTCCGCGATCAACATTCTTTTGATTTATTTAATCCTGATCCCTGTCGCAACAGTTAGTTATACTTCTAGTGAATTGTAAATCGATGTATAGTGACTATCCCACGTGGTAGAATGGACTGATTCGGCTTCGCTCTCAGAATATGGTTTATACGAGGTTACATAGCCAGAAGCGCCATCCTCCGAAATTGCGTCGCCAGGATATTAATCTTGTGGTCCGTTTAGTCGAGGCAATGAAGCACTAAAAAGGCCAAAAGTTCGGAATTTTTTAGACTAAAACGGATCGGAATGCGGTTTTTTGTATTCGCTTCCAAAAATTTTTTGGAAAAAATGTCCCTACTTTTTATCCCTTACAAACCAGAAATTACAGTGCTGCAGCCAAAAATGCATTTAAAAAATGAATTTTTTAAGACGGCTTTTGGAAGATTAAATAACTTTGTAAATAAGAGTCAGAACTGGGTGCACCAGGTGTCCGAGTGTTAGCCGATGCCACATTTGAATTTAGTGCCCCAAAAAATCCCCGGGCCCCGAGCTTCTCTCCTGCCCTGCGTGAATTTCTGGAGAGTCCCACGAAGATGACGTTTATAGGCGTTCCTGAGCTCCAGGTCGGCTGTGGGTCAATTTGAACATCATAATCGTGTTCAGCGACCTCGAAAACCCCCGGGAACCCGATTTGGGCCAGTTCTGACTCTTATTTAAAAAGTTCTTTAATCTTCCAAAAGCAGTCTCAAAAAATGCATTTTTGGCTACAGCAATGCAATTTCTGGTTTGTATAAGATAAAAAGTAGGGAACTTTTTTCCAAAAATTTTTTGGAAGCGAATGCAAAAAACCTCATTCTGATCCGTCTTAGTCTAAAAAATTCCGAACTTGTTTGCTTCAATGCTTCGATTAGTTAGACTGTAGCTAGTTTGGATAATTATTTGCAATCTGATGGATATTTAATTCTTTTATAAGCTAAAAGCAAATCTGCCTAAATATTTATCAAAACCTACACCTAGTCACAGAAAATCACATAGGTACTGAAAGAAAAAAGGAACACATCGAACATTCTAATACATGTTTGAAAAGGCCGATAATTATTGGAAGTTTTGAGGATTTAGTGTCGAATTTTATAAAGAAAATTAATCTAAACCAGTGCGTTAAAATTGTTGAAAATCTTTCCTGTAAATCGTCATCAGCTACAATAATAGTTGCAACCAGAAATAGTAGTTTGTTCAACAAAAGTGGAGGGTTCAATCCACTCAACGACCACCAAAATAAAATCTACAAGTTTTGAAATTATTTTAGGTTATTAAGATAAAATAAATAATTTATGACTTTTACCAATTTATAAAATAAAAAAACTTGAGAAAAGAAAAATGTAATAAAAGTAGACAGATGAACATATGCGCATTTCGATTCTCATCTCTCGTGGACATGTCGCCTACAGGATCCGCTAACGAAGCTAATTATTCTCCAATCCTAGATTTGAACCGGGACCCAAAAAATATATATATACTGTACAATGTACAAATCAAGTGGATTTTTAACCGACTTCAAAAAAGGAGGAGGTTCTCAATTCATCAGTATATTTTTTTATGTATGTTCAGCGATAATTCTTTACCTCAATGTCCGATTTCAATGATTCTTTTTTTTTTGTTAGGGAGTACTTCAGGGGTGGTTCCATATAAATTTGGTCAAATTCTAATAATTGGGTCCATGACAAAATCCTCAAACTCTTCATTTTTTATGTATGTTTAGCGATAATGCTTTACCACCTTGTCCGATTTATATGATTCTATTTCTTGTTTCATAGGGAATCTTTTTTTCAGGAAGTGGAAAGAGTAACATACAATCAAATACAAAAATATCAATTTCAGTGCCAATTTATTCGTTTCAAACTTCACAACTAGTTTCAATAGTTTTTTCAAAACTATTTATTTAGTATTTCTCTATAACAGTGTTACTCAAAGTGGGCTCCGCAAAGCCTTTGTGAGGGCTCCGCGAAGAAAATAATCATAATAAAAAAACTGCTATCGCCACAAAATGGAGGGACCTGTCTTGAGAACCTTTTTTTTGAGAAGTACTTTTTTAAGTCACTAAGAAGAAGGAGGATATGATTTTGCTTGAGGACTTTTTTATATTTTATTTTTTATGGGTGAAATGTATTTAAGATAATTCTTGCAAGGAATCTTTGGAATTAATCAAAAATAAATTAACAACAAATGATGTTTTTGTGCATTGTATGAGGTATGTGCTTGCACCGTATAGTGATCAAAGTATGTGGAGCTAACTGATTTTTTAGCTATAAACTGTGCTATAGTAATTGTTCTGTTTTATTTGTCTATATGTTGCACATACTTTGATTTTCTTTTACTATACGGAGAATGGTCGCACTGCGCAGCTTTCTGAGTGCCTTTTAAAAGGAGATAGAAAACTCCGCCATTTTGAACCCTTATTAAGTGTTGCCTACATATTGGCGCAATATTTCTTGTTTTAATCTGACAGGTTAGAACGACTGAACCGACAATTCCGGAAGCAGACGCGGATGATTAAAACGCACCTGATATTTTGCTTGCTGCTGTCAGGGTCAGTGAATATTATTTTTAGAGTCACAGTGTATTGCTAAAGAATCAGTTAGCTCACTCGGACCAGTTGAAAGTTCCAAAATAATATCCACTCCAGGGGATACAAATTCAGGATACGCAGAAGACTGCTGTTTTATTATAGGCGGTTGTGATATATTGTATTATCCGAGTTGCACAGTGTATAAACTGAAACATTGAGATCAAAAGTGCCGACGCAGAGTGAACGATCTGATTCTTTAGCTGTAAACTGTGTCACAGGGATCAAAATGGCCGCGCCCTATGTTGGGCGTGTCGGACCTCTCTCTTGTCCCGTATAGTAATCAAAGTATGTGGACACGCCTAATGTTGGGCAATAAACTGTGACTCCAAAAATAATATTCACTGACACTGACAGCAGCAAGCAAAATATCAGGTGCGTTTTAATCATCCGCTTCTGTTTCGGAATTGTCGGTTCAGTCGTTCTAACCTGTCAGATTAAAACAAGAAAACCGACAATTCCGAAGAAGAAGCGGATGATTAAAACACACCTATTAAAAATATTGCGCCAAGATGTAGGCAACACGTAATAAGGGTTCAAAATGGCGGAGTTTTCTATCTCCTTTTAAAAGGCACTCAGAAAGCTGCGCAGTGCGACCATTCTCCGTATAGTAAAAGATAATCAAAGTAGAACAGAAGTAAAAGTTGGAAATGCTTTTGCCAGTTCTCCCACTTTATACACATAAATTGACAGGTTGGCAGCGGATCTCACCGAAGTGGACGCGATACATTGGCGTACAAAATTATTTTATAGATGTTAATAACAATTTCGAGTAAATAGTTTAATAAATTGTGAATAGCTGTTGAAATTTTGTAAAATTATAATTTGAATGTTATAATACATGTCTAATAATTATTTATAATCCATAAATACATGCGATTGTCCGGTTCCGCCGATAACAATTTAAAATTACTTATTCTATGAAACGACACTGGCAGGTAAACATTACTGTGAAATTCTCGGAGCCGCCCGACGTGGTTTGACGTTTACCCCCTCTCTACCTACCAAAAGACTTTTCAACTTTTACTTTCTCTCTATGTGGGCGTGTCGGACCTCTCTCTTGCCTCGTATAGTAATCAAAGTATGTGGTCCAATGAACTGGAGTGGGGTAGAAAGCTAATGTGTATATTAGGCATTCCAACGACCTGTCAAACAATAGGTGCCAGTGGGAAATTCTTGTATATCTAAGGGGGTAGCGACATAGTCTGGCAACTTGAACGCTATTTTTATTCAAAGTAGTAGTCGCCAAGCCTGCCAATTTATGAAGAAATGTATAGGTGGGTTTTTTAAATATTATTTTTATTGTGTTTGACATAAAATATTTAAATGTAATCCATTATTCATGATTTTACGTAAAGTAGATAGAATACACCATATGTCGCCACCCTTAGATATACCAAACCTGCCCACTGGTAATTCATTTGTTTGGAATGTCTAATTGAACAAGATGCGACTCTATGGGCGCAGCCATTTTTATTTCTCATCTCACTCGGGAGTATTTATAATAACCATTTTCTGTTTCACATTGTTATTGTTCAATCCACAGGCTGGTGGATCAGACAATAACAAAGTGAAATAGAAAATGGTCGTTATAAATACTCCCGAGTGAGATGAAAAATAACCTGTCTTCGCCCATAGAGTCGCATCCACATACTTTGATTTTCTTTACTATACGGCGCAAGAGAGAGGTCCGACACGCCCAACATAGGGCCCGGCCATTTTGAACCCTATGCAACAGTTTATAGCCAAAGAATCAGATTGCTCACTCTGCGTCGGCACTTTTGATCTCAGTGTTCCAGTTTATACACTGCGCAACTCGGATAATACAATATATAACAACCGCCTATAATAAAACAGCTGTCTTCTGCGTATCCTAAATTTGTATCCCTGGAGTGGATCTTATTTTGAAACTTTCAACTGATCCGAGTGAGCTAACTGATTCTTTAGCAATAATCTGTGACTCAAAAAATAATATTCACTGACACTGACAGCCGCAAGCAAAATATCAGGTGCGTTTTAATCATCCGCTTCTGCTTCCGGAATTGTCGGTTTAGTCGTTTTAACTTGTCAAATTAAAACAAGAAAACCGACAATACCGAAGCAGAAGCGGATGATTAAAACGCACCTATTAAAAATATTGCGCCAAGATGTAGGCAACACGTAATAAGGGTTCAAAATGGCGGAGTTTTCTATCTCCTTTTAAAAGGCACTCAGAAAGCTGCGCAGTGCGACCATTCTCCGTATAGTAAAAGAAAATCAAAGTATGTGGTCGCATCTCAAGCCTATTGACAAGCATTCTACCCCACTCCAGTTCATTGATGTGGTCGGACCTCTCTCTTGCCCCGTATAGTAATCGTATGTGCTATTGCCGCGTTTGAGAATCCACATCGGATGCATTTTTTACATCTCGAGCGTTTTTTTATCCACATCGGACACATCTGTCCCATTACATTTACGTATACTGAATCACGTGATCAAAGATTTTTTACATCTCAGATGCATCCGATGTGGATTCTCAAACGCAGCATAATGTTGGTACAACTATTGACGTATCGTATTGTCATTGTCAGTTGTCAATAATTTTGTCAATTGTTTATTTGTGTAATCGGCTTTTGTGGGTGATTTGATAAATTTTTATTTATTTCAACAATGGATTTAGTAAATGATGGTGATTTGATGCAGGGTGGTAACGAGTACTCTTTAAGTTCTCACAGTAATCTCGGAGATAGTGCTGATGTTACAAGACGAAGAAGGTAAGTCCAACAACACTTCTGACAGTACATCAATTTATTCATCTCGTATTTTTCAGTTCAAACCGTTCTATAAAACGTAGAAAATTTGATGACGAACTAGTGGAGTATAGTCTGGGTATGCCAGGTATTTCTAACATAAAGGTAAAAATTACTAGGTTACTTTAAACTAAATGACAAAACTTTTTTATTTTAGAGTGGCAGGTCTCGCACACATTCGGCCCATTCAGAATTCTCGGCTACTTCTCCTTCTACTCCTCCTTCTTTACCACAACCCTCAACTTCTCAAACATTTATAGATCCAAAAAGAAAGCACCTTTCAAAAAATGTTTTGCCCTCTTCCAAACGAGGTAAGAAAGGTGGTAAACTGGGAGGGCAATACACTGCAAAAGATTTGGGTAGGTGGAAGCCAATAGATGATTTAGCTCTTATTATTGGAGTCCAACAGACCAATGATTTACGTACAGTTCACTTGGGAACAAAATTTTCTTGCAAGTTTACTGTGCAAGAATTACAGCAAAGATGGTATGCTTTGTTATATGATCAAGCAGTATCTAGAGTAGCGGTCTCTGCAATGAGAAATTTGCATCCTGATATGATAGCAGCTATCCAGGATAGAGCGTTGTGGAGCCAACAAGAAGAAAAAATATTAAGTACTATTAAATCGGTATGGATATGTAAATATAACTACAATACTTGGATGAATGAGATCGGTGTGTTCTATTTGAAATTGTGACTTCACTTTTTTTACCAAGAAAATGTGTACATGTCTGATTAAGGGCCATTAGCATCTGTATCTTAGAATATTTTAAAGGAGAAATGTTCTTGACATTAACAGTTAGTTTTTTATATCCAAGGGGGACACCTTTCTACCATAGATAGATATCTTTATTGAATACTTAGGAATCCTAATATACATGTAAAGGAGCCCACAGTCTGGCATATATGTGCATCATACATGCTTGCATGTTGATATTTGCTAGTATTTTTGAGTTTGGCTGAAATCCATCAAAGTACAAACTTGACAATGCATACAAGATTGTAAGTGTGTATCAGGCTTTGTTTACATACATTTTGAGAATAGTGTCTTATGTATTTAAGTACAATTTGTTTTCATATTTCATGATGTTGGATTTAAGGTGCTTTTCGAAAGACTTACAGTTAATTTCATTGAATTTTATAAAAGTTATCCTTGTTTATGGAAAACCGAAAGCAGTGATTACAAAGACCGTAATAAAAAAAATGCAATAGGTACATAAAGTTCTATTAAAAAAATACAAGAAATTGAACTGTATGCAACAAACAGCACTGAACGTCTTAAAAGTAATTTTTTCACCTATTTTGTCCAAATATGTGACTTTTTCACCCAATTTATTTTTCTTTTTGATTAAAACAGTGTGCTAATATATTATTATAATTGTATTCATTGCTCATCGTACACTAGTGTGTAGGTTTGTGGGTAAAACTATAGTGTCATTCATTTACATGAATGATGCACATGTATGCTAGTCTCTGAAGACCTTAAAAAAGAAAAATATTTCACATTTAATTCTAAAAGTTACTTAAATGAAAACCATTACTAACATACATTTCAAATACCAAATATACATATTAGTGCCATCTGAAATATGGCGGCTGATGAATATATCTGGCAATGCCAAAACCTGAGGTAGTCAATCAGGAGGATCACTGTAGATCCTTGTGATGAGCGATATTGCACTAGCAGGGTCATACATTTATAGTTTTGTTATTATTCTGGTGTAATTTTGTGGAATAAAATAATTATATTATGTTCTTTGTTAAATGTGTCTCTAACATACATATAAAAAAGAATAAAAACATTTTACATATAAATCTAAAAGTTACATTAATTAAAACCATTAACATATATATTTCTAATGCTAAAATGCAAAACAATATGACCCATAAATTTATAAAATCTTAAATTGTATATTTTCAATAAACTTAAATTTAATTTTAAAACACTTTCGTTGATTCACATACAGATGAGGGAATTGATTGAATTTTTGAAATCTTTAAAGAATAAAGAATGTATAGTACTTTGATATGTACTTCTTGCAATGTTGATGTTGTTATTTTTATACCTCTTGTATTAAAAGTGTAGTTATTATTGTTGAAAATAATTGCTTAAAGTATTCCGATTCTGGTGCCATATGATTTACTATTTTAAATACTAAAATCATCATAAAATAGTTTTTTGTTCTACTGGATATCAGTTTAGAGTATTTAACATTGTCGTAATTGGAGTAAGACAATTTGTCTTTATTATTATTCTCATTTCACGATTTTGAAGTTTTTGAAGATGTTTAAATTATTTAAATTTAATATATAAAATAGATGCACAATAATCAAAATCTGGCTGAATTATGGTATTGTATTTTGGTCTCTTTTGATAAATTTTGGGAAATTCTACTAAAGCAATATAGCTTTTAGACTAGTTGTAAATATGGTTAAAGTGGCTATCAAAATGTAAATAATTGTCTACTTTAAATCTCAAATATGTGACATTAGAAATAATTTCATTATTAAAATTTATGTTTTCAACATCTATAAAACTATATTTAAATGTTCTTATGAAAATCATTTGCTTTAGTTTTTCTTGGATTTACTTTTAGAGTATTTATGCCCAAATATTTATTTTTATCCATAAGCCATTTCCCTCCCCTCCATCACTCTAACCAACTCAATTTAAGGCATTTCTTTATAAGCTTACCAGAACATACTTCTGTAACCAGAGCATTTCTTTATAACGTTTGGTTACTCTGCTTTGGTTACATGTTACAAAAGCGTATGTAGCTATATATAACGAGGCATTTATTTATTAGCTTACTAGAACATACTATAATAAAAAATAACAAAGTCAAAACATCCTAAAATTTCTAAAATTCAAATTCCGTTTAGAAATCCCCAAACTTAAATTAAATTTGACATATGACATTCAATAATAGGGAAACCATGGTATGCGTAATGTCACCACAGTAACCACAATACTGTAACCAACATTGCGTTCGGTCTGCCAAGTTCCTTTAACTCCTTTAACACTTAACTCCAAACGACCCTTTTAGCGTTAGGTTTAGTCCGATTAGTGACAGTTTAACACGCTTAAATGTCATTTAAAAGCACCCTAAAATTTGTCCCGCTCCAGCCCCTGACTGACCGAACTCGCCTCTAGTATGTTGTAGTAAGCCATAGATTACCTGAATAGATGGGAAACTCAATGGTAAAATTCTGAGTCGATGTGCTGCCATCTATCAAATTGGAGTGGTACTAAAATTCAATATGGCCGCCACGAGCGGGCTTTTTGAAATTTAACTTTGTAGTAGCGCAAAAATGTAATTAAGAAAATCAAATAAAGCAAAAAAATTGGAAAAATATGACTAGTTTTAAATCATAAAACAACCATATTGACTGTTTTGTGATTTGAAACTAGTCAAATATTCTGCCAATTTTTATCTTTATTTGATTTTACTTCATTATATTTTTGCATTAATTTCAAACTTGAAATAAAATGCAATTTATTTTATTTATTACAGTAAATTAACGCCGCATCATATAATTTGTCTATTTAAACATGGAAATACTCAAACAAATATGCATTTACACCATTTAAATAATTAAATATTTATAAAACAAACCTATCAAAAATGTTTTCTGTAACAAAATCAGCATATATAAGTGCTCAAGACCGTTATAAAAGTTTTGCGACTTGGAGTGGCAAATAAGTTTGAAAAAATTGAGGTTGAAGCATCAATCATCCTTTTTTACTATCGAAGCAAATTTGAGTGTGGATAAAATTTGCCATACGGTTATTGAGTTGACTAGTTAGGTTGAGGAGCATTTCTTCATCCGATAATTGTTTTCTTGATTCATTTATACAGCACTTGTAGTTATCAAATTTTTATTCATCATGTCGGCACTGTGATAAATAAATTTAACTTTTGAGCATAAATTAAACTTAAACACGTTTGGAACCTTGAAGATTTTAGGGTGTTTTTTTGTTTGATGTCAATGGCATTGAATCAATTTTTGATATTGATGGCTGAGGCTCAAATATTTCATCGATCGACAGGGTATTTTGGAAGGCCAACATTTTCTTTACAAAAATGATCATTTAAAAACTGAAAACAAAAAGAAATTTAAATAACAAACCAATTATTTTAACACTGAATCAAATACAAGTTTGTAAATATTACTTACCGTTGGTACAGTGATGGTGCATTTTTCTTAAGACACTTATTACAATTTGGGGGACGACTGCATATTTAATGTGGTATAAATTGCATTACTACCAATATCTGGGAGTGCTTTATTGTTTGCTGCTGAAATCCATCTTCCCATCTTTTGAAAACATGCTTAAAATTGGAAGGTGTTGCAAAATAAATCTAGATTCTAGATGAATCATAATTCAATACACCTTCAAATACAATAGCCATTTTATTTTATCTGAGTTTGAAGTTTTGACGAGCTGACAACTGACATGATATTTCGATACGAGCGCCATCCCGTTAATTGGAGTGGTACTAAGTTACCAGCCTCATGTTTTTCCATTTGAGTTACCAGCCCCTGTAGTAAGCTTATAAAGAAATGCCTTTAAATAAGGAAAGTACCAAGTATGAAACATTGAAAAGATGATAAAAAACTGTCACTTATTGTGGATGTGGCACTTCAATTAAAAGTTAATGTTATCGGATCGGTGGCGTAGGTGTCTCAGGCGCTCACATTCATTTGGGAGCAATTTTTTAGTTAAGAGAGACCCGGCTTCGAATCCTACATAAGACCATGTGAATTTATTTGCATGATTCTCTATAGGATGGATACCATATTAACAGAAATGTAATTTCTGTTGATATATCCAGATTATAAAAATCGCCATGTGTTGCCGTTTCGATTATGGTGGGTGGGGTTTTCCTCACCTGTAAGTTAATTAGCACCATCAATCATCTTTAAGTCGCCCCAGAATGCAACGGCAAATAATTATATCATGGGTTGAAATTCACTAAGGGGATGAATTAGGGAGAGTACTATTATTATAATAGTAATTTAATGACCAGCACAAATTTATTATTTTGGTTGATTGTGATTAAAGTTTGTATTTCTTAACGTTAGAGATCTGAAAGGTTTTTTAATTATGTAAATTCATATTTCATTCAATTATGTTGTGTATTAAATTACTAATAAAATTAGCTTTTAAATGAAGCGACACACCTCACAATTTGTGACAGTTTTTTATCCTACTGGAAGGTGCTAAAATAATAAGTAAAGCAATGAACAATCATACTGCTGAATTATTCATAAAACTATACCTTTTCAATGATTTGTCATACTTTGTACTTTCCCTATTTAAATTGTATTGGTTAGAGTGGGGGAGGGAAGTGACATGACAGTTGAGGATATGGTAGAATAATAGCGTTTGGTTTGGCCAGGTTCTGAAACGGGACAGGAGCGGAGTTTTTTTAGGGTGCTTTTAAATGACATTTAAGCCTGTTGAACTGTCGCTAATTGGACTATTCCGAACACTAAATAAAATGGTCGTTTGGAGTTAAAAGTAATAAAGGAGTTAAAGGAGATTGGCTGACCGAACGCAATGAATGTGACCACCTTGGAATAAAAATTGATGTTTTGGGTTTTTATCCAAAAAAATTCTTC